TAGGCTAATGTAACGTTAAATTAACATTACATAGGTGGCGCATGTTTTGTTGTTGTTTTTTGTATTTACATATATATTCATATATACTTTAAACTTTTAATATATTTAATATATTGTTCAATTTTAAGCATTCAATTTTTTGTTCAATAAAAATGTATTCTTGAGTCATCCACCATCATTTTGTGGCTTTTGTAAAGTATCGGTTCAGGCACCGTTTTGGCACCGGTACCGTTTTAAAAGTATCGATTTGGCACCGGTATCGAAAAAACCCCAAACGATACCCAACCCTACTGCTCCCATGTATCTGGTGTTCACAGAGACACTATGGACCAAATAATTAGGACACTTGGCCATTACACTCACAGGAACTTGTATGACAACATTTTATATATGCATAATATATATATTTATATATATGTATGCAGGCCCATCTGTTCCAGCATGACTGTGCCCCAGTGCACAAAGCAAGGTTCATAAAGACATGGTTGGATGAGTTTGGTGTGGAAGAACTTGACTGGCCCGAATGGAGTCCTGACCTCAACCCCATCAAATACCTTTGGGATGAACTAGAACGGAGATTGTGATCCAAGCCTTCATGTCCAACATCAGTGCCTGACCTCACACATGCTCTTCCAGGTGAATGGGCAAAATTCCCACAGATACACTCCAAGGTCTTGTAGAAAGTCTTCCCAGAAGAGTGGCAGCTATTACAGCTGCAAAGGAGGGACCAACTCCATATTGATGCCTATGGATTTAGAATGGGATGTCATAAAAATTCTTGTAGGTGTAATGGCCAGGTCTCACAATACTTTTGTCCATAGTGTATTTTCATGCACACGCAGTAGGCCTAGTATGGTAGCCTGTACAACAGACCAGGTTAAGACTTGAATGTATTATTTCCAAAACCTCTAAGATTACTGGCAATGACTTCACTTCTTTCAACTCCGTCTACAGGCACTGCACCACTAGATGTGCCAACAAGAATCTTGGACTCCTCCCAACTTGCACATTACCTGTTAAGCTGCTTCCCTTTGGCAGGCGACTCTGATCCATGCTGACAAAAACCTCCCGTTTCAAGTACACCTTCAGGACATCGAACAATTAATATGTCACTTCAGCTCCTTGCCTGTCTTTGCACAATTACGTCACCCCCAACACTCAGCAGTAGGTACTTGTATCTGGCAATTTTACTTATTTCTGTCTGTGCAGCACTCACACTCACCTTTTATATGTGCGCAACTACTATGTATGTTCCTATTTGTTCCCACCCATGTACAGTACCAATCAAATGTCTGGACACACTTACTGAAAATCACTTGTTTTTCTAACAAGACAACAACCCTAAGCACACCTCAAGGTCATGCATTAAGTGTGAACATGCAGAGATGGAGTGTTGCGACGGATGACTTGGCCCCCACAATCCCTCTGGCCTAAACCCCACAAAGCTGGGTGGATAAATGAATAATGCTACTTTCCATTTACCTTGGAGGCTGGAAGTCAGAACTGGAAATGACGTCACACCCGAGGTAACTGTGTTCCAGTACAAGAAGTCAGAAAGCCATTTAACAATACCAAGGACCTGCTTCAAAAACCAGGATTAGGATCCTCTCCTAAACAGGCCGCATTTCTTGTCAGGTTCATTGTTAGCCATTGTTAGCAATATCAGTTGATAATGCATTATGCAACATTTTGCACATACAAACACTGTAGTGACATGTCCAAACATAGAGGTTGGACAGTACTGTGTGCATGACTGATTTAATGAAATACAACTAAGACATAAATGCTAATAAACAGTTTACAACCACAGTTTTCACTTCCGTTGATAAAGGGCTCAAGCATCTTGAACTCTGAGGTCGGGGTTGCAGAGGTTTCTCCGACTTTCCGAGTCAGAATTCCGATTTCTGGTTCTGGTTCCAGTTGAAATTTCTGACAAGGAACTCAGAATTTCTGACTTCCAAGTTCCAGTGGAATGCAGCATATGAGCAAAGTAGCCAATCTGTGCCCAAAACCTGTGGATAAACATTCCAGGAGGCTAAGAAAATGTCGAGGCTGCAATACTGTGGTAGCTAAATTATAAATCAACCTCTCTGATAACTCTGGTTGAGCCACTTAGAATAAAACTCCTCAGTTGGTAGGTAAAGTTCTCTCTTTTATTCGAGCAATCCAGCAAAGCGCTCCCGTCACACTCTGGCACTAGGTACCAAGTCACCCCGAGCACACAGAGTAACCAGTTGATAAACCATAACTCCCAATTCCCTATAAGGACTGATTGGTCACAAAACACCAGCAAACCAGGCTCAAACGTATAACAAACACAATCCTCCTGCTCTATTGGTTCACCTTGGCAGCAAGGTAAAATCCACCCATTTTGCTCAATTTACCAGAATCTGTGTCGACTGCTAGACTCTACTTGAAATATGTATATAGATATTGACTATATGACACTAAATCACCATAAATATTTGGTTTTCCTTTGATTAATGATTAACGCATCAACATATTGTCATTAAATCACTGCAAATACATGGTTAACATATGATTAGTATGATTAACGTAACAATTACATTGGCACAACCGCATAACATATTGTGCATTGTCTACTGTGATTGTTTTATAACTATAACTCCTTGTGCACCAGTTGGGGCGGCTTCGATTCCCTTCCTGCAGGTGGTTTCTCCCCCCCCCCTTACTCCACTGTCTGTCTCTCCAAGGTCAGATCTCTCTTCAGGGTCTGCGGAACTAACTGCAGGCAGCTATCACAAAGCGAGGTCACACAGCATTCAAAACAATCTCTTCTTGCCTAAGGCCTAAGACATAACAGACCCAATATGCCTCCGCTCCCAGGCCTACCAAAGTCCAATTTTCCTTCCACACTACTGTCATCGAAGGGGGCTATTTGAGGAGTCTAAAATTTGAGAAAATGACATTGAACACTTCTCTTGGTTGTTGAAATACTTACTATGTATTAGTTCATTGCCTTGAGGCCTTTTACTATAAGGTGAATAGTACAAATCAAATAGAGACAAATGCATTAAAAGCAGGTGTGTCTAGACTTTTGAGCGGTAGTCTAAGATCTGCTCACAGAATGTCACCTTGTCCATGTAATATAATGTATACCTATGTTGCATGTCCTTCTCAATGCATGTTATTGTACTATATAAGAAGGAACAACAGAATTGCACCAAGCACCATTTCCACTAACCTGGTGATGTAACATTAAGTTTCTATGTCGTGGCTCAGTTGGTTCAGCTGCTGTGTCTGTGTTTAGGTCGCTGGTTGAGCTCCCAGGGGTGGCTGAGTAATTTCAATGTTGGGCCCCTGTCCCTTAATCTCTAATTAGGTTATTCCAGGGACAGTCAGACCCTGCTTTCTCAAAAAAAATGTGTGCCATAAAAATGTAGTGTATAATACAGTATTATTAATATAAGTATTGGGAGGCACAGTGGTGCATTGGTTAGCATTGTTGTCGCACACCTCTCGGACTGGGCTTCGAATTTCCACCCTTTGAGTCTCCACCCTGGCCCCATGTGTGGCGAGCTTCCATGTTCTTCCCGTGTGCCTTGTGATTGGTTGGTGTCCCATCCTAGGCAATACCCTGCCTAGGCAAGGTGACTTGGACGCTATGCGAACATCATATACATTGTATACAAAAATATACGGTATACTGCACCCATACTGCCTAAATAAGCAATATATTTTACATAAGACAGAGTACACAAAAGTACAGTGAGGTAAATGCATAAATACGTAACTCATATGTTTATCATTGATATCAAGTATTATGATTATTATGGGTATTATAAGTAAAATACGCACTTTACCATTATACAAGAGCCTTGTGCGACAGGACGTCCCAGCTAAAGTCGAATATCGTTTTGCAGTGTTACACCTGCAGATATTTTATCACATCTGAGTATTTTTAGCCTGTCACCCCGTGTTCCACAAAAAGAAAAAGCAAAATAAAATGCAAATATTAATAATCAATTTCATTTATATGCAGTTGTCATTTATATCCAAACAACTACTACGTACAGTATAACAGAAGAAAACGTCGCAGACCGTATGCGACGCGTGCGAACAGAGCGCCGCTTCTCATTGGCTGATAGGCGGGGATTTCTTTTTCCTTAAACGGAGTGCCGTGACGTCAAAATGTAGTCCTAAAGACAGACGCAAACGTTTTGGTGCGTAGCGAGCGTCCGGGGCTGTGGGGTGAAGACGTCGCTTGTTAGCGGTGAAGACCCGGCGTTTGCCGGGCGTCAGGGTGATACAAAAAACCGGGGATTTTTGTCCGCTGTTAGGCCGAAGGAGTGAGTAGCGTCGTCCTCTGTGCTTTTCAGCCCTCTGTAAAGTGCAGCTTAGACGGGGCTGCTTTACTGTGTGTAAAGAGAATGTCGCGGTAAGGCCGCGGGGAGATTCGGGTAAGTCGAGGAGGATTTTAAGGAAACTGAGGCCAGCTGGTTTGGCGGAATAACAGTTTCATAAGACCGTTTACGACCTTATTTTTAAGTACTGACTTTATGGTGGCCAAGGGCAGCTATGAACGGCCTCCAGTCTCTTTATTGAATCTTTTAGAAGGATTACAAGACATGATTCCGTTATGCGAACTGCTTACTGTCTGTTATTAAAGAGGTTTGATTTTTGGATCATATTTGACTAGTTAAATATGGCTTTGATGCAAGTGACATGTCATCTGGGTGTGGGTTAAAATTAAGCTGACATCTTTTGTTCATTATTCCACTTCTGTTATATAAACTGTTAACTATGGTTTGTCTAAGCAGACACATTGTGCGCTCTTTGTCAAGTCACTTTTCTATGCAGACTCTGTTTTGACCTACGTATAACTTAGTGTGTGGTGTCTGTTGACCAGGGTGACTTTTTTACATGACATTAAACCTAACTATCAGTAGACCTATTAGGGCAGAAATGTTTAGATTTCAGTCTTGTGTTAATCGTGTTCTGCTTTTTGCACAGGTGACAGAATGCGCAGCTGTGTGCGTAGCACCCGGGCCCTGTCCCCCGTCTTCTTTCCTCGTCTCCTGCTTGATGTGAGGCATGGGGGGGCTGAAGTGGCCCAGCGTGGCCTTTGTTGCTCCCCGAGGAGTTCAGCTGCTGGGGTGGAGGGGAGTTCCATGCCTTTGCCAAGCCAGGCTCGTGTGGTGATCTGTGGAGGCGGAATCGTAGGCACCTCTGTGGCGTACCACCTAGCCAAACTCGGTTGGACGGAGGTGGTCTTGCTCGAACAGGGAAGGTAAGATGGCTGTGTAGCCTTCGAACAATTTGAAATGGATCATGCTTATTCGAGATTCAAACAGTTTTATTTTCATACATGTACACAACAAAATTCTGAACAAAATTAGAATTTCATTATGTACCCATGACAATAAATAAATTGCTTGAATCTTGAAATGCTCCACCAGACATAGAGATGTGTAACTCATACCTGAAAAATAACAAAATTATCAGACAGATATGAGTACATATTATGGATGAGTCGTGTCTTGCCTTTCGCAATAAAATTATTTGGTCTGCTATATGGGAAAGTAAGATTGGTGTTTGTGAAGACTCAGCCTGTTCATCGGTCAGTGAGGGGGGAGCACTTTGTCTGTGACAGGCTTGGGGCTGGAACCACCCGTCTGTGTGCTGGCATCGTCAGTGTCGCCAAGCCTATTTCCATCGAGAGCAAGATGGCCGACTACTCGAACACGCTCTATGAGCATCTAGAGGAGGAAACTGGCGTGAAAACTGGTAACATTTACACCGTGTCGTCTTGTTTATTATAAGAAGAGCCTTTCAGGGGTGTTCAGCTTCAGTAGAAGTTTCAGTCTTTGTGACATTGAATGTTTTATTGTATCGGAGAGTTGGGGCAGCTGTAGACCTCCATCTATCAGTATAACTGATTGGGCAGTGGTGGCCTAATGGTTAGGGAAGTGTGTATGTGATCGAAAGCTTGCTGGTTCGAATCCCCAACTAACAAGGTAGCACTGAGGTACCCTGATCTAGGTAGCGCCCCCATGCACTGCTCCCCGGGTCCTAAATAATGGCTGCCATTGCTATGTCTTGATGTCATATATAGGTTAAATGTAGAGGACACATCTCATTGTCGTGTACTGTGTGCTGTGGTGTGTCAATAATGGTAATTAATCACTATAAAAACATTATAAATACAGTAGTCTTGTTGTTTCCAGGCTTCTGCAACGTGTATGTCTGAATGCATATAAAGTAGAGACTGAAGCTTACTGCATATCAAATAGAAAGGGCAGGTGAGAGGTTGACTTGTTGACCTGGCTGTGTCTCCTAGGTTACATGAGGACTGGCTCTCTGTGTCTGGCTCAGAACCAGGATCGCTTTCTGTCCTTAAAGCGTCTCGCCTCCCGCCTCAAGTGAGTTTGGCCAGTCATGACGCAGCTAATGCAGTATCAGGATGTATTAGATTTTAATAAGTCACTGGTCAAAGGGTTAAAAAAAATTCTGTAATATATTAGTATGTTATTAATGAACCAACACTTATGTAAACTTTGCTTGTGAATAGGGTGATAGGGATCAGTTGTAATGTCATCAAGCCCAAAGACGTGGCACAGCTGCACCCTCTAGTGAACATCCATGACCTGGTGGGGGCGCTGCATCTGCCGGGGGATGCCGTGGTGTCGCCTCCAGATGTTAGTCATGCCCTGGCGGTGGCAGCGGCGAGTCACGGTGAGTCAATTGTGTGTCAGTGTGTGATCGTGGGGCTGGTTTGGTATGCCCAGCCGGCCTGGTTTGGTATGCCCAGCCGGCCCGGTTTGGTATGCCCAGCCGGCCCGGTTTGGTATACCCAGCTGGCTCTGACAAAAACACCTTTGCCACCAAATTCTCCCAGGGGTCATGATCCACGAGCGAACGAGTGTGAACCATGTGATGGTGGAGAGAGGTCACGTGACTGGTGTGGAGACTGACCGAGGACCCATTGAGTGCGAGTACTTTGTGAACTGTGCAGGACAGGTTAGTTTGTGTGCGTTATCATTATTGTTTGCCCACTGCCTTTATCTGCCGTGATTCATGTGTTAAAGAAAGGAAGTTTTATGTACAGCAAGCTTCAGTCTATTTTGACCTTGGTGATTTAAGACAATTTACTCACAATGAAGTAAACGTAACTTGGTATGGATTTAATCATTCCCAAAAAGGTTCTTCTTTTAAAGCATAAAGCTCAGATTTAAGTAGGGTGACCAGGTAATACATGTCAGGGAGGACTTTGTGCTTCTTCAGGCTTTCCAAACTAAAGCTGAAGGGCTCCTCTGCTTGGCTGAATAGTTCAATTCTTCTGGTGCTTTGACTGGTTTGTTTCTTTGATTCAGAGACTCATCCAGCTGTTTCACATTAACATTAGTGACACATGCATGATTATAGGAGACTGGCCAATCAGCACACAGTAAAAGCTCAGCGCTTAGGTGAAATCCAGGTCCTTTTTAATTGAAATAGTGGTTTACAAATCCTGTCCTGGGTCAGTGTCCTCACTGACATGGACTATCGGGTCAGCCTACATTTAAGACCTTGCCTAGATTGACGTGGTCATTGTCGCCTGTTTTCCAGTTTGATAGTGGTAGTGTTGCCATTTGAGTGAGTGGTTTGGGACAGCCGTAATCCAGGCATGTCACAAGCTCTGTGCTGTGTTGCTAGTGGGCGTACGAGCTGGGCCAGGCTAGTGAGGTGAAGGTATCGGTGCCCCTCCACGGCTGTGAGCACTTCTACCTGCTCACCAAGCCGCTGCAGCCGCTCCTGCAGCCCAGCACGCCAGGTGAGAGGCCGGCACGAGTGTCTCAGCCGTGAAATGCTTCTCGCTTCGGGGTGCTTCCCCAACACGGTGCATGGCCCAGAGGACCAGCTGACGCACAGAACTTCCTCCCTTCAGTGGTGATGGACATGGACGGAAGGATCTACGTGCGTGCCTGGCAGGGAGGGGTCCTGTCGGGGGGCTTTGAGAAGAATCCAAAACCCATCTTCACGGAGGGCAGGAACCAGCTGGAGATCCAGAACATGCAGGAGGACTGGGACCATTTTGGTAAGGAAAGCCAGGTGTGAAAGGGAGGGGGAGCCTCGGCATTTCAGCCTGTGTAGCTTTATCGTCTCGTGTGCGGAGGTGGAAAGTTCAGGTTCAGAAAGTACCAATTCAGACCAAGATTTTGTTTCAACAAACCAGTTGAGTATGTGAATGGGACTCTTCTTACTCAATTGGTTGGTTGAAACAAGATTTTGGTCTGGATTTTTACTTTCTGGACCTCAGCTGTCTGCCTCTGCTTGTGTAGTAGAATGAATTCTTACCGCATGCTTCCTTCTGACTTGCGTTGAATAAGACTGTAAGAACAACATTAAGTGACATCACTGGTTGATGATACTCCCCATATACAGGTACAAAGGATACAAAGGTGGAATCTGGAATTGGTGTCAGTTTCAGATTCCCGGAGTGTCAGTGCAGAGTCTACAAAACAAATTCCCTGGCACAGCCCTGTAGGACTGTAATCTTTAGCGTTATGAATTTAAATTTAACTTCTGCTTCGTAACTCATGACTGGTGCAAAGCTATTAGGTAGTATTATACTACAAACTTTTGATTTTAAGCATTCTTGGTGAAATAAAAGTCCGTTTAGGAGGAATCATGTCAGCGCGGCCAGTGTGTCATTCAGGCTGAACTTTGACACCAGTGTGGTGCTCGTGCAATGTTACAGCCTGCGCCTTCCTCACTTCCTGAAGGAATATGCAGTGCTCAAAATAAACACAAGCACAGTGGGTGCCTGGCCTGCTTATTTTGAGGTGAGTGGGGGAGGTTGTTTAGCATTGGTGCTTTATCGCTCCTCCCTGTGCACCAGTGCCTTGCGGAGCATGTGTCCTTGGGGCCTGGCGTGTGGGACGGAGGTGACCCTGTGTTCAGCTGGGTCACCCAGCGTGCCACCCTTACAACATGCCCTACCGCCACCCATCCGCTTGACTGCCAGTGTGTCAGTGCCATGTAACAATAGAATCTGCTCAGAAGGTTTGGTGGAAAGTAAGGAAGGCTTTGCCTGTTGGTACCTGATTGTGGTTTCAGATGAAAGGCCCAATTTGACTTGAAAATGCCATGTAATTTACTCCAACCAGGAGTCTTGTGGTTCAGACGTGACAGTGTGTTCTGGTATTTTCTTGATCTACTCCGTAATTTGTGAAACGGACAAATAATGGCATGTGTTCTCACATATGCAGTTAAAATTGGTTAATGCTGCACTGGTCTCTTCTATCTGGGATTAGAGAGACACACTTGGCCACATACTCAGCCGCTTGGATGACGTTCTTTCCTGTGCCTGCAGAACCTATGCTAGGTGCTCTTCTACGTCGCATGCCCAACCTGGACGCCTGTGAGATCCACCAGCTGGTCAACTGTCCTGAGTCGTTCACCCCGGACATGCGCTGTCTGATGGGGGAGACTCCAGGAGTCCACGGCTACTTTGTCCTGGCTGGCATGAACTCGTCTGGGCTGTCCTTCGCTGGGGGTGCCGGCAGGTGAGCTGGATCTCTTGTATTCCACCGGTTAATAGCGTTCCAGGGCAGGAATCACAGCAGCTGTGTGTGCATCATCCAAATTCAACTCGACTACTATATGAATTTGTCATTGCACACTGTAAATTACAGTCCCCAAAGGTGTTTCTTAGCAGAAACATTTAACTACTTGATACTCTTTCGCATCCAAAGTATGCCTCACATGCTCAACAATTGTATAGGATAAACTCCCTCATCCCTGACCCCTAAGGGCCGCATTGGGGAAACACTGCCCTAAGAGTAATGCTCATACAGCAGCCCCTGCACTTCACCCTCTTACCTGTCTGAGGGCTGTTTGTATATGAAGCTTTGTGTGATGAGTCTGTCTGCTCCCAGGTACCTGGCTGAATGGATGACCTACGGTTACCCCACAGCCAACGTGTGGCCCCTGGACATCACGCGCTTTGGCAGTCTACAGAGCAGCCGCACCTTCCTGAGGCACCGCGTCATGGAAGTCATGCGTGAGTAGCTGCAGCGTGTTGCCAAACGGCCGCTGTGCAGCACGAGCGCTTAGCCAGCCTGCTGGCCGGCACTGCTGCTTTTGGCCAGTGAAAATAATGGAAATATCATTACTGGAATAACTTTTGATCCATAATTTGTGTCCAGGTTTCACTTTCTGTGAATAAGTCAGGTTGCATTTATACACCAATTACATTTTCGTATGAATAACAGTATTAAAAAAAAATTGGAAAGTGAAAGGTTTTAAATACCGGTGTGGTTCACAAATTCAAGACATCAAAAGGCTAATTGTCTGGATTCTCCTGAGTCACACTGGTGTTTGGCACTCAGTGTCATGCGTGACTCACTTTCTAGCGCTCTTTGTCAGCAGTGTATATACCTCAAAGTTCTTTTTCATGTCCGTCTAATTTTTCATTCTAAATTAAATTCTTATGGTTATTTTACGGCTGTGAAAATTTATTAGACCTTTTGGAATTACTCAGTGTTCAAGTTTATAGGTTGATTGGGCCTGTTTGACTTAAGTTGGAATTTTTGCTGAATAGCTTGTCAGATTTACAGTAGTTTGTGCTAAATGTAAGCGAATAAAGATAAAGTCCATGAAAACTGGGCTAGCTACCTTAAATCCAACAAACTGTCTGGCTGTGCGAGAAATCCTGCTTTGTGATATAGGCCTCGGATCTGTGCTGTGAAGACCAGCCTCTTGTGGACAGGGTACCTCAGTATACCTGGATTTCATTTGATACGATAGTTGGTGGATTGGTAAACCATCTAGGTTTCTCCTGCCTTCCAGCTGTTGGTTTTACTTGCTTTAGGTTAGAATTCATCTCCATTGGTCGTTCAAGATGGTGCTCATGCTTAGTCATATGTTTCACTTTTGATTTTATTTCCAGGCAAGTTTGTACCAATTACCAGCTGTACCATATCTGATTCAGCACCGTCCCCCCACCCCGTCCCCCCACCCCATCCCCCCCAGTCCTGTATTGGATTAGTGATTTAATAATGGATAGATGTGAAATATGTAAATTGTATATACAGCTCTGGAAAAAATTAACGGACCACAGCACAATTTTTTTTGTTTCTGATTTCTCAATTTATGGGTGCACATCTATGAATAATACATATATATTTTTCAAACTGCAGCCTGGTTCTTCCCTGCTTCTCATTAATGAAGGGCTTCTTCCCTGCTTCTCATTAATGAAGGGCTTCTTCCCTGCTTCTCATTAATGAAGGGCTTCTTCCCTGCTTCTCATTAATGAAGGGCTTCTTCCCTGCTTCTCATTAATGAAGGGCTTCTTCCTTGCTTTATGGGACTTCAGTCCTGCTACTTGGAGCCTGTTATGAACTGTCCTAGTAGTGCACTTCACACCAGTTAATGTTTCCCATTCTTTTTGAAGGTCTCTTGAGGTCATCCTCTGATTCATGAGAAAGGGTCAACACTGGCATTAGGAAGTCGCGTCCTCCCTCTACCTGGCTGGTCGTTCCCAGCGTCTCCTGCTTCACCTTACTCTAGTGTACTGCTGTCTTAGAAATTTTGAGCCTGGAGGAACCAGGATATAACTATTCAGATTTTTTTTTAAATATAGAGTTGTCTCCTAATTTTTCTAGAGCTGTATATATATGAATAACCCTGAATAGGATAAGCGGTTTCAGAAAATGGATGGATGGGCAATCATACCCTGTATCTCAGTGCAGTAGAATGCCTCTCCATCCCTTTTGTGGGTTGTGTTTAAAAGGAGATCAAATCAAAACCGTTTAACCAGATGAGGATCCCGGAATCTCCAAAGGATTCACAAACTTTGGGTTAGGGTTATTGTAATAGAAACAGTTTTGGAACGACAAGCTCATTGTCTCAAGGCATTTATTAGCTAGGGCTACCGATGGTGTGATGTGTGCCAAGTGCACACTGCTAAAAGCTGCTTGGCAGGACTCTGCCCCTGGTTGTTTTTTAACAGGACTTTCAGATACTGAATGGTTGGTGAGTGTGTGCATGTGTCTGTTTGCCTGTCTGTCTCACAGCCCTGCTGTATGAGCTGAAGGTTCCACGCTGGGACTTCCAGACAGGCCGGCAGCTCCGCACCAGCCCCCTGTATGACCGTCTGGATGCGCAAGGCGCTCGCTGGATGGAGAAGCATGGCTTTGAGAGAGCAAAGTACTTTGTTCCAGCTGGAAAAGGTGGGTGAGGACAGACTACCGTCACAAGACGTCCTTCACTTGGTATTCCCGTGTTGCCTTTTACAGCACACCGTCATTAGACTAAACAAATAATGTTGTGGGTGAAGGCATTCCCTGATACGATGGCTCTTACCTGTTTGTAGACCTTCTGGCTCTGGACCAGAGCAAAACATTCTACAAGCCGGATTGGTTTGACATCGTGGGTGCCGAGGTCAAGTGCTGTAAGGAGGCCGTGTGCGTTATCGACATGTCCTCCTTCACAAAGTTTGAGCTCAGTGTGAGTGTCCACCAGGGGGAAGTATTGAGGCCTTTTAAACGCATGCTGAGGCCAGCAGTACAAAAGAGGAAGACCATCTAGGGGTCACATATCTGTTTAACTTGCTGATTTTTTTTACTGTTGGTTTTTCTGGTACTGTTGCACATGCCGAGAATTATTTGAAGCAATAATGTTGCTATAATGGGTATGATTGGGACGTATTTTGACCTATTTGGCATCTGACGTCCTCTCAGTCTACTGGGGACCAGGCCCTGGAGCTACTGCAACACCTGTGCGCCAATGACCTGGACGTGCCAGTGGGCCACATCGTGCACACAGGCATGCTGAACGAGCGCGGCGGCTACGAGAACGACTGCAGCGTGGTGCGCATCAACAAGAACAGGTCGGCGCAAGGGGACTGCGGGGGGAATACGGGGTAATGATGATCATCTACAGTGACCTTTACATTGACTCTGTCCTCGTCTCTTCCCCAGCTTCTTCATCATCTCTCCCACAGACCAGCAGGTACGCTGCTGGGCTTGGATAAAACAGCACATGCCAAATGATCCACAGCTCCACCTAGAAGATGTCAGCTGGAAATACACAGGTGAAAGTTGACTGATCTGTTGGCATTTGATCCCTCCTTCCTCAATTTAGCAGAATCATTGACCTCTGTCCTTTGACCATTACAGCTCTGAATCTCATTGGCCCGCGAGCGATGGATGTTCTCTCCGAACTGTCATACGTCTCAATGACCCCGGAGCACTTTCCCTCTCTGTTCTGTAAGGTGCGCCTGCTTCTCCCTTCATTCCTTTAACGTGCATACTGTCTGGAGAGCAGTTATGGTGGCCCTTTTCAGTGTATGGTGGGGTGGTAAAGATGGACTGCTGTTTCTCAATACCAAGACTGCAAAGAATCATGCTTGTGGTCTTAGCATGAGCATATTTGCTAACTTGCCTCCGAAGAATGAATTAGTACGCGATGAATCATGGGATTGATCTTGCTGGGGAGGATGCAGCCAATGCATCTTTGATATTTGGGGCAAGAACAACATCTGGGGATTTTTGCTGTCCTCTGTACATCTGTACAACAAACTTGACCCTACTTGTGTTCCCGTGTTCCGGATTTATATCATCTTCCAATTCCAATGTTACGGACTGAAGTACAGAGGACAGTAAAAATCCCTGGATGTCGTTCTTGCTCTGCCCAAAATATCAAGGATGCATTCATTGCATCCTTGCCAAACAAGACCAACCCCATTGTTCATTGCACCCAAAGTTCTATCTTGGGAAGCAAGAAAGCCAGCTATGGGTGGCTGCCCTTCGCGGACAGCTTGCTCTACAAAGAGCAAGTTGAGAGAGGCGTAAAAACAATTTCCCCACGGGGATCAATAAAGTATCAATTATTAATTATTAAGTTAGTAAGACCGCTCTTTCCAAGACCACAAGTGCGATCTTCGCTTTTTGTATTTTGAGAAACATACTTCGAACTGTACTTCAGCAATGGAAGATGGCGTCAAACGTCACACGCAGGAACACAAGAATGGTCAAGTGCACTGATCAATAAACCCCCGAAGACTCATGTCTTATAACACTGCTTCAACAGGAAATGAGCGTAGGCTATGCCAACGGCATCCGGGTCATGAGCATGACCCACACAGGGGAGCCTGGCTTCATGCTCTACATCCCCATTGAGGTGAGGCCTCCTGCTTGGCTTCCTTCCACATTCTAGAACATTCTCAGTGTCCGTTAGTGGTCTGCCTCACAGAGCTGATGCATTTCATACACTCTTTCTTTCCTGCCACAGTACGCGCTCCATGTCTACAACGAGGTCATGTCCGTGGGCCAGAAATATGGCATCCGCAATGCCGGCTACTATGCCCTGCGCAGCCTGCGCATCGAGAAGTTCTTCGCCTTTTGGGGACAGGACCTGGACACCTTCACCACCCCCCTGGAGTGTGGCCGTGAGTTCAGGGTTAAGTTCGACAAGGTGATTGTGCCCCTGCTCCATTTCACACGATTCCTCAGGCACCCGTTTTTTTCCTTGGCCTTGACACGGTCCTCGCTGGTTCATTCGGAGACTCATTCACACCTTTCTGCTCCCCTTCTGCATTTGTTCCTCCTTGTTTCCTGTCTCAGGACACTGACTTTCTAGGGCGGGACGCTCTGCTGCGGCAGCGCCAGGAGGGCGTATCACGGCGCTTCATCATGCTGGTGTTGGAGGACCATGACTGTGAGCTGGACCTGTGGCCCTGGTGGGGCGAACCGATCTACCGCAATGGGGAGCTGGCCGGCGTCACCACCAGCAGCGCCTACAGCTACACGCTGGAGCGTCACGTGTGCCTGGGCTTTGTGTCGCCGCCGTCCGGCGCCCCTCCTGTCATCACCCCCGACTTCATCAACCGTGGTGACTATGAGGTGGACATTGCAGGGCAGAGGTACCCAGCCAAGGCCAAATTGTACCCCTTCAGCTCTCTCTTTGCTCAGCAGCGCCGCCGTAAGGATGATATGGAGCTTAGCAATTTCCAGGGCAAATAAGGGGTCATGGCTGGACTTCTACCTGCCTCCCTGCTTGCTCCTGGCTCCCCCTTCTGCAGAGCTGAGAGGACCTCTTGGCTTCACAAGGCTGCAGCCAGTTCCTCCTTCCAAAGTGCAATACCCATAAGACCTGCTCTCCAACTGCCCCTGGTCCACCAGCTTGCCTCCCTGTTTTTAACACTCCTTCACTGAGGGGGGTAAGCAGCCAGACAATCTTCACCGTCAGGGTGACAAATCAGGACTGAACCCATCTGCTGAAGTCAGTGCAGCACACATAGAAGACAAGTTTGCCAGATACTGTACCTGCTGTTGTGCAGGATTTAGTGAGTTTTAGTCTTTTTTTCATATGGTATGTTTTTTTTTGGAATTGGTATCTGGCAAAGCAAGGTGTAAACCTGTAAAATGCTGGGGGACTTTATTTACTGTTGTGTGTGTGTGTGTGTGTGTGTGTGTGTGTGTGAGAGAGAGAGAGAAAGAGAGAGAGAGAGAAGCAGCAGCAGCAGTAGGTTAAACGCATTAATGTTGCTGTCCAGTGAATATGGTCGCTGGAGAGATTTGATCACTGAAAAGCTGCTCCTGGATACTGGTCATTGCAGTGTGGCTTACTCCTTCAGTCAGGGGCTTTAATCGCTCCAGTCAGACCAGTACTTCCTTTGTTCAGCTGTAGGGGGGGGGGACAAGGCTGTGTTGGTTTTAAGACATTTCACCTTGGAATCTCGCAGTACTGAATAAAACTGCACAACGCGTGATCCATATGTTCTGACCACCAGATCTGCCGAATGGTTCACTGCTTGTTTTTTTGTCAATGTGGAACTCCAGAACCAGAATGCTCGGATTGGTTTAAGAAACAAGAGCAAATTTACATTGGAATCTAGTTGCAGAAAAGTTGTTTTTTTTTGGAATTTTGTGGTTCTGGGATTCTACGTGAACAAACTGTAGCAGAATGTGAGAATTGTACGATCTTGTCTTTCCCCCATTTTCAAATTTGCACAAAATAGAAATCAGACCACTGTGTTGAAGCTGGCTTTCTGCCTTCTGCTGACACTCTTGGATATGTATCCCATTAACTTAATAATGTTTTTTTTTCCATCTTAACCAGCTGTTAAACACTTGATTTTTCTGGTGTTCTATTGCCAGTGGTCTATCATGCGAATTCTGAAAAGGCCTTTGTAATTTGAAAGGAATTGCATCAGTGTTTCTTCAACCTGATTTGCAATGCGTATCTTAAGATGACACCACATTTCATCGGAGAGTAAGGCTTCAGTCTGCATGTTCACCCCTAAAATTCATCTTCCAGTTGGCCCAAATGCTTCCCTGTCGTCCTTGGAGCTGTTAGCAAGGCATTTAGATCTGCTTCCTGCACTCATCCACTCCTGTTTCAATGAGTTGCTACATCATAAATATTTGTAGTTTTGTGGTTGTATGAATATTTCTTGTGCTGCTAATGTAGCGATCGGTGATTTAACTACAACGGGCACGCAGTAGCATTTGTGAAGGCCGTAGTTTATTTCCCTAAAATAAACGGAGCAGTCAGCGACGTACAGCCTCTCCTCAATTTACACAGCGCCAAATCCAAGCGGATTCTAACGGGAATTGGCGCTGAAACTAAACAAAAATGCGTCGCTGATTGCTGCCACATCTACAACACTCAAGTAGGAACCTTTGTGGTGGAACCAAAAAGTACAAACTAAACCAACAAAATACATATGCAAGTACAAACAGTCACAAATAATCCATGTGTCATACATAAGTACATTTAAAATTAAAATAAAACAAAGGACTGGAGGATTTCATAAACTCAACAACTATACATTAACATGGCTACAGTAACATAGTGGAAAAGGCTTGTAGCATTAGTAGTGTTAGATGTTGCTCTGAACATCGAACTGTTTGGCCTGCCAATCATGCATCGACCCTCTGCTGATTTTGTAAGTCCTCAGGCAGCCAATTCAAAAATCATGTGTAGTCTGTGGTAATGTATTTTTTTTTATTCTTATTTGCTCAGCTTCGTTTAAAGTTAGCACAAAGATCATTTGGATACACTCGTTGAGGTTTACCCAAATTTGTAGCCCTGTATTGTCAGTCAGAGAATGACTGTGATGTGATTGGGACTCTGTGCTAGAACCCCAATCAGACAGGGTGGGGTGTGTGGGGAAGCGGGCAGTGTTGCCAACTTAGCGACTTTGTCGCTATATTTAGCTAGTTTTTAGACCCCTCTAGCGACTCGTTTTCAAAAAAGAGACTAGGGACAAATCTAGTGACTTTTTCAGGTGTTATTGGAGACTTTTGGAGACTCTGACGTGAAAGCACGTATCGTTATACTCTCCTCACCGAACAGCGGGTGCTGCCGTGGGCTCCTCTCCTGTTCCAAAGCACTCAGACGGTCAGTCCTCGCGTAGCAGCCCCGCCCAGCTGCAGTCAGAGCAGGAGATGTTCACCCCTCCGCGTCTAAATTACAAATGAATTGCGCATGTGCGAAGCCTCCACTGGCTGATCCTGCCCTGGTTTAGTTCAGGGTGGGATGTAAATTTAAAATTTTCTATGTCAAATAAATGACTGCACTAAAATAAACTACAGATTTGACTCACACAGCCTCAGTGACTTACCTCATCCACTGTGTGTGCGCCTCTCTGTGACATACGCTAAACATTCATCATGTCTCAGTCTAAACTGTACTCTCAGAAATAAAGAAAGGAGTGGGAATCAAACCCTGAATTCAAAGGCTGGTTGAAGCCATTTATTGGAGATGCTATCCGGACATGCTGCCTGTATTGTAAAGCTGATTTCTATGCCAAACTTTGTGATATAAAAAAAACACATGACAACTCAAAAACATTCTCAAAAGGCAAAACCTTGTAACAGTTCCACCCAAACCACACTGCCATCAATTGTTAAAAAAATTGATCCTGCGAAAAAGGCAGCGGCCACCATGGCATTAGCTGTGGATGAACACTCTTCTATGCTGGCATGTAGTTCTAAACGTATGTTTATGGTGTTTTTAACCACTTTTTGGCTCTCCCACGACATTATTCCTCTCTCCTACAGAGTCCATTACAATTACATGCATATTGCACATTATGCAAATAAGGCGATGCCGTCATTTAGCGACTTCTAGCGACTGTTGGGACAACCAATAGCTAGTGATGTGCGATACTACTAGATTTGTTATCGATCCGATACCAAGTAAATACAAGGCAAGTATCGCCGATATGATACCGATAGTTTTCAATAATTAAGGTGGATGCATCATCAAATTGCTAAAGCTGAATTAATTCTCATTACCTTTAAGTGGTTTGTGATGTTTTAAATTAATTAGTTAAAACCCAGGACAGAATTTGGGCAAAGTTTATAAGTAAATAAATACTGTAGCGCGGAGGTACAGGCCGGAGGCGCGGCATATGGTGGACTGATGCCAGCTTGTAAATAGTCCTCGGTAATCGCTTGTGATTATAAGTGCCATGTGTTATGTCATGTATAGTGGTTAATGATTATTGTTGTACGTATAGAGTGTGTATCTGTGCGTGCGCCCACCGTGTGTATGAGTAAACGGGGCGACGAGCACGGTGGGCAGTGTGAGTGTGTGGGTTGTAGTAGTACGGGTGTAATAAACACCATCTAATGATTAAACCCCGAACTATCCATGCTGTTTAATTATTGCAAGCATAGATCAGCCCCCCACTATTACAATACTTTATTATAAATAGTATACTGTGTGTGTGTGTGTATGTGTGGGCGCGCGCAAGCATGCGTTTGCTTGCCTCGCGCGTTGAGTCACGTGACTGCCGGAAGCAGCAGTTGTGCGTTCGGGAGAGAAATTTAAACTGTATCGATCTTATTAAACTGGTATTGATCAATATCAACATTATTATCGATACTTGGATCGATCCGCCCACCACTACCAATAGCTATATTTTCCTTGCTGAGGAGTTGGCAACAGTGGAAGCGGGAAGGAGAGGGAAAGCGCGCGAAACGGAGAGGGAGAAGACGGCTGGAGTGTGGAGTGATCGCTGTTTGGGCAGAGCCCCGGGGAAAAAAATATTGTTCCGGTTTACTCAGTTGGCTAATAACTCAGCCTTGGCGGAGAATATTAATTTGGGACCGAGAGCGTGGGTTGTGAGCCCTGTGTAAAGCGCTCTATTGATCGGCTGGTTCGGAACGGGCCAGTTTGGTTGACTGCACAGTCCCTGGCTAAGGAGATCCCGATAGCACTTTGTGTTACCGGTGACACACAAAGTTCCTCGGCCGTCGTGGGAGCTCGTGGACGGGCTGGAGAACGCTTGGTGGATTAGACTGCCGGAGCTAGCTTGAAGCAGAGTGGAGGTAACGAGCGGGGTTTTCCCGCCCTTTACCTTTCTTCTCCGAACGAAGTGTCCATTATCATTTTGGCCTCAACGCACCCAAGCCTCGTCCAGGCCTGCATCGTAAGACTGTTTATCTTAAAATACTCCGGAGTATTTCATGATGTTTATTGAGTGCTGTCGTTAAATGTCTGCCATTTCTTTTGCTTACGCTGTTATCTGCAGTTTTTGGTCTTTTTTACTCGTCCGTTAAATTGAAACATATGCTGAAAGAAAAACGAATCACTCAGACATTCAACAATTAAAGAAATAATTAACTAATCTAGTGTAACTATATTACCCTGGTACATCAGTTCCGTCAATAACTGCCAGTCTCTTACTAATGCCAAAATGCCTGCAGATGATGATCTCATGGCAGCATTTGGCTGCTCTCCAGTTCTGATGAAGATATGATAATCTTTGAGGGTCGGCACGGCTTTGCCCATTCAAGTCCTTTGCTGATTGCTTCCGCGATGGTCCTCAGAACCTGATTGTACCTCCATTGATACCTTCCCTCTCCAAGTGCCCTCGTACATCTGCTTATAATGTGTTCTAGGGTCCCTCACTTGGAACACATTGGGCATGCTGGTGTCTGTAATGCCACAAGTAGGGCTGAATGATTGATCGATTTCAAATCGAAATCGCGATTTGAAACAACGCCACTAGTAAATTGCAAAGGCTGCGATTTAGGACATGGCTCCCTATGTGACAGTCATGGTCACCAATCAGAAGTGACCGCAGACTACGGAGTATACGCCCACAAACAGCAAACACGTGAAACCAGAAGAAAATGTTGCATTCACGGTGTCGAAAAAATACTTATTACGCTCCTGAGCTGTAAATGAGTTTGCAACCCTGAACACATACATTTTTTGTTTCCCCTGAATTGTTTTGTATAGAGAATAACCATATACAGTTAAAAAGCGGAAACTTCGATCAACATGAAATCACCAATAAACTACGTCTGTTTATTAGACAATTTATAAAATGCATACTACGTTCGAAATTTTTTCCAGCTTTACGATTTCAGAACTGCCACTCTATTATGAACATTGCGGCTTTTTGGTTGAGAGTGTTACCCCTGATTTACACTGGATGCGTATCCGCTGCGGTGCGACTGCACTGCATTCGCATTCCGTCCGAGGCCGTCCGCCAATTCACACTGGACGCGTTTGTGGTGCGTATCTGATCCGGCGCGCCGCTGGTTTGCGAGATCACATGACCACGGGAGAATAATATTTAACATAACATTTATCTATGTTTCTATGGATAAAATAATGTGTCAATCCAATATAGGTTACTGAACACTTTATTAGGAGTTTACAAGTACTTCACAGTACAGGTCACTTTCATTAATTAAAAATCAAGTATATACATAGTTAATTGGAAGATTCAACTTACCGTCAAATCCCAGAACTTCTGAAGTTTCACTCCACGCCTTCTCCTTTCTACTGCTGTCCTTGTAAAAAGGATCTCTAGGGTCGTAGACAATTCGGTGTTTCTCCACCTCCAAAATTAAATTTTCCTCGTCCTTGATGTGACGGAGAATTGGCGCATGCGCTCTGTGTTGCGTTCTTGATCCGTATCCGTCAAAAATAGACTTGATGCGCATCTCGACGGACTGCTGGACGCGTGACGGAACAGAGACCTAGCGGAGACGCAACGCAGCGGATCTGGTGTAAACTGATGCATTGACTTTATTGGCGGCGATTGCCTGCGGCTGTCGTGTCGGAAACGCACCGCAGCGGATACGCATCCAGTGTAAATCAGGGGTTAGATTTGCTGCTGTTAACACTAATAACACATTAGCGCAAACAAAAGGGCTGCATACACCGAAGTATAGTTCTTGCTTGTTCATTGGCGTGGGAAAAGGTGGTTCTAGTGTTATTATGGGACCGAGCTGTTTGCTGCAAGATCGCTATTGTTTTTCTTTTTGTTGCAATTGTTTTAATTATTACTTAATGTAACTTAACACAGCACATATTTAAATTCTCATCCTTGCATTAGAATTTAGACTAGTTCATATTTTGACGGTATCTCATATAGTAATGCTGCGTCATATGTTTTAAATTTATTACACTTATTGAACTAAAGCTTGGCGTATAAAAAAATATATATCGCAAATGAAATCGTAATCGCAGTGTCTGTGAAAAAAATTGCGATTAGATATTTTCCCCAGAATCGTTCAGCCCTAGCCACAAGTGTGCAGATTTGATGGGCTTGGAAGCACATTGTATACTGCCTGAATGAGAAATCCAATGTGGTGAGGCTCGGCTTTCCAGAGCTTGGACTAAGTCATTTTCCTCTCAACATTCTGCCATCTAGTCCAAGCTCCCTGCTGCTTCAATCCCGCAGCCTTGCAGGATCTCTTCTCCTCCACTGCTGCTCGCACCTCCCCCTCAACTAGGTCTCCACCACATGCTGGCCAGAGATCAGGGTGTCCATTAGCTGCTCGAGGCAGTTTGAAATGGTTTCCGGATATGGCCCCGAGCCATAAACTTTAGTGGCCTCCACCACCTTCATCATCGCCGATAGCCGCTGCCCCAGCCTTTCACAGCATTCATTATTTCTTCGCACTGTAGTGCCCAGTGCGTGCAGCTTCTCTGCCATGAGTAGAATGATGCTCACTACATCCATGGCTCTGCTCAACAACAGAAAGGGAATATCATAAGCAGAGCACAAAAGCGGCACTTTATCATAACAATGAATGAATGATTTATACAAACCATAATCGAGACATGAGTACACCACCAAAGACAAGTACAATAGCTTTTTCCTATAAACTGACATTTTAATAAGTATCATAAGTATTTAATAAGTATCATGCCCCCAGATCTCCTGCATCCCTGACCTCTCAGCCTTGCAGGACTGCCCAGTGAACAGGCAGCTTGAGGGAGACTTAATACAAATATGTGGGCAAGTTGGAGTGCAGGCTTGAGTTGTTGGCATATTGAAAGGTTTGTGGGCAGGTGGCTATATGAACATATTAGATATGTTTTATTCATAGTTGTTGCCATCCTGTGTTTCCGGTACAAATAAGTTAACAAGGCATCTCTCTTTCTCTCTGTCCTGATGCATGTAAATAAAACACAATTAATACCCCAACATTAAAACAATTACACAAATTACATATGAAATAAAGGGCAAAGAATATTAGCGAACAGACCACACGTACCTTTCAGAGGGAGAGGAGGGGGAGAAGACGGCTGGAGTGTGGAGTGATCGCTGTTTGGGTAGAGTCCCGGGAAAA